CATTAAGAACACTGTTCTGGAATGATATAAAATGGAGTGCACACGGTGTTCTGAAACACTGTTCAGTTCATTATATATGCGTGCAACCATGCATTACTATATATTCATTAGTTATTCGCACAATAAATCGTATAATGATTTTCTGTTATTTGTATATCTAAGTATGCTTTTGTAACGTTTTTACTCGTTAATTTTGCCCGGCCCTCGCGTTCAAATAGCATATAATAAGTATATGTCGATATATAGCGGTTGACCCTTCAAAACAACAATCTATGCATTGTGCATTGGATACACAAAATCTCTCGCCTCCATATCCAATCACGTGAAATGGGCAGTGTCACGTGTCTGTTCTGGCTGCCCCTACTCGAAAATCGGGGTAGTCAGAACAGATCAAAACAGTCATGTGAATGTCTTCTGTTCCACTCCATTAGTGTTCCGAAAATCCGGAGTACTCCGAACAGTAAATGGAGCAGCTTGCTGAGATATTCACATTAGAAATTATTAATCGTAAAAATAATAGCAAATCTACAGTTATAGTGTATTTGAATAAATCTACCTACTTAATACATTTGAATAAGAAAACGAGAAGCCCAAATATTCCAGCCAGTAACTAACTGGTAAAAGTTTAATAACAGAGCATGTCGTTCCTTGTATCTAATCTCAGTATACTTACTGTATATATAAATTTAGTTGCCCTACGTTGTACTTGATTCTGCATTGCATTATGTACTCTACTCTCCATAGGCCAATCACCTGGGTACAATAGCCAAGACGCGATCTAACAAGTGCTACGCTATATATGTGCAAATATTTTAACGCAATGGATGGCATGCCTTTCGAACTATTCCTCTTTATGAATCCAATCATTCGATTTTGCTATATAAACTGAGACTTGATGATTAATGACTCAAATGATGCCAGCTACAAATCTCTATCATGCAATGTACCTAAAAATTTAGGTAACTAGGATTCTCAGACGTGAATTGATCCTTTCTACACGAATAAACCGGAAAATATTGTTTTTGCTGGAGTGTCTAAGATAAAAATATGTACAGTGACCATTATGTAGTGTATGAAATTCGTAAATTCTCCAAATAAAAAGGACACGGCAAAATCATTGAATTTCGTGACTTAAGAACTTTAACATAGAAGCATTCCAGCAAGACTCTGCAACGTTATGCTAAATGAGAAGTGGCATGCTTAGAATGAAGGCTATATACCATGCAGTTGCTGATAAACAAGCTCTGTTAAAGAGAAATAAAGTTGGTACGTATAAGCGGCAAGTAATTAATAAAGAAAAAGCAGCTAAAACTAAGGATACAAATGATTGGGCAAATCTGAATGCTATAGGAATGAATATAATTATATAAACGTTTAATTAATCAAGAACACAATTCGGAACTATTGCACAAATGAAATCCATACTAAAAAAGTAGCATGAACAAAGGTGATAGTACATTGGTTTCCAGTGCGATTTGGAAAACACATTCACGAGTGAGTTTTTCAAAGGTTGCATGCCCGCATATCAAAATGCACGAGTCCGAAGGACGAGTCTTTGAAAAGTCATTGACAAACTCACGAGTGTACATTTTTTTCAAATTGCACGAGAAACCATATTATTACTTGTTAATAATATACATGTATATAGTCTTTTGAAAACTCATCAAAAACTCACGAGTGTACGTTTTTTTCAAATTGCACGAGAAACCATATTATTACTTATTAATAATTTTGTGCAGTCACGTGCATGCGTAAGTCACATTTAGAAATTAATAAATTAAGAAAATTAATCAATTTGAAAAATAAAAAAATTAAGAAAATTAATAAATTTACACTGCATTTCTTCCTTTGCACTGAATTTCGAAAAAGTTGCACTGCTCTTAGCCAATGAAAATTGAGAATTTTTTCATGTATATTATTAGTGACCAAACAATCTAAATCGTCACATGCATGTAGTTCAATAGCCTGTGTACAGCCGTTACTCTCGACGAAGCGCGCGAGAGAACATCTGTGAGTTGGATGCATAACCCTTATTCAGGTCACGTGGATAGTTCTCAGATTTGGGGACAGGTCTCTGATTGGACAGTGCTTTATTTGAATAATTTATGACAACTGAAGCTATTTCATTGGTTAATTGATAATTAGCATGCGTTTAAAATAACAACACAAAAATTTTTAATTCAGAGATTTCCAGATCAAGAATCAAGATTTCATTCGGGGCATACAAATGTTTGAAAGGCTTGAAATATAATCTGTTGAGTTTAATAATTTTGTGCTGTATCGAAGTTTAATTAAGAAAATCAAGATAAAATTCTAGTGTTTGGACGCTCAGCGAATAATGCTGACAAATATATAAAATACAACAAACTATCGGACGGAAATTGACAATTTAAAATTGACAATTTAATGAATTGATCATGACGATCTGTTTATATGTCCCGACCCCTGGCGATCAAGCATTTTCCTTACATATAATGTGTTTAACTTCGTCTCACTTGGCCAGTTAACTTTTAATTACTTTAAAATTAATGCACCTTTTGAATAACCAGTTGTGTTTATATTTAATACTTTGTCTTTGTAAACAAATATACGCCATATGTACGCCAAGAACTGAGTTTGTACACCGAACTTGCAGGCTATGATCATCGTTCAGCATTGTTCGCATTCAAAACAAATCTCTTCATCGAGAAATATATGCAATATATTTCTGGTGTATCGGTTTTCAGATTATATTTCCAGTCTTTGAAACTTTTGTAAGCCCCGAAAGAAATCTTGAGTCTTGAGGAAATTTAAAATTTTTGTGTTGTTATTTTAAACGCATGCTAATTATCGATTAACCAATGAAATAGCTTCATTTGTCATAAATTATTCAAATAAAACACTGTCCAATCAGAGGCCTTTCCCCAAAATCTGGGGGAAATTCACCTGACCAGAACAATGAATCTTTATACATCTCACAGACGTTCTCTCGCGTGCTTCGTCGAGAGTAACGTCTGTACACAGGCTAGTTCGTTCGATTTCAAACGGATCCGTATTAATAGGGCACTTTGGCGAGTTGAAATGAACCCTCGGATCGAAGCTACTAGCGCCGCACTCTCCTCAACGCCCTCCGACGCTCAATGTCGACCGAAGCGTTACTTGCTTCTCCTGAATAACCGGTTCCTATCGAGAGCATATTTTGATTAAGAATTTGTCTAAAACTGTCCAGGAAGACCGCATTCTACCTCCTCCCAAACTTTACATTTCACATGTGAAATCGTATGTGAAATTTTCGTTTTCGAAAAGGTTTTCCTAGTTTGTCGACGTCATTTAATATATATAAGACAAATCTATTGATTGATACATACAAAATGGCTGTGTATAGTCGGCCATACATCATTTTATGTGTATGGTCGCTTTGGTTACCACCACAAATGGCAAACCACTGTAATAAAAGTTTCTACACTTAGCTCACTTAACCCCAGGCAGTAGTTGACGCATTTTGGTCGTTATATTTATTAGAGCAAAAATACCTCGACAGGGTATAGTTGATCTCATTGATAGTTGTCTTAATCAGGACGATATCACAATGTCCCACGTTCACTGCATTCGCTCGTGACATTTATGCATGATAACGTCCCTCAAGCGATAAAACTTATATCGTCTCTCCCTTCATATGACAATCTACTGCTATTTGAGAAATTTGATTGACAAAATTAAAAAGTGTAATAAAACGCATGAGATGGAGAGCTAACTTTTTTTTCTAAAATGTAATAAAATTTCGAGTGAAAATAATCGTTTCGACCTTCCTTTCAAGAAAAAATATCCCACTATGTTGGAAATGAAACCTTCCGAAGACGACATTTTCAATTTTGTAGAGAATATACAATTTGAAAAGCAAGAAACGAAATTCAGGAATATTTGGCAAATGATTTAAAGAAAATTAATTCGTCTCCCAACATTTTTGTTTTCGCTGGAAAACTAGAAACTCTAGCTTATGAAACACCGCTCCACACATATGACAATTAAGTTTACACATGACAAGACAACAACAACAAATAAATACGGATCATGGGACACAATTTCGCAGATTGATGACGAACTGAAGACATTCCAAACAAGCTAGATCTTCCAAAAATCTCTTACAAAAACTAGAAACCGCATTTATTTCACTTAAATATTATAACGAATTATAGAAAATAGCCCTAAATACCGACTAATTAATCCTGCTGAAAGTGAATCTGAAATACTAAGTAAAATAAATTTTGGCAAAAAATAGAATTTGTACGTAAATCCGGAGAAGCACAAAAAAAGTAATTGAATAGCATGGCAACATAAAGGAAAAACACAGGTATACCTTCATTTCGTTTGATATAGTTGATTTCTACCCACAAGCGTACGGAGCTGATGCTTTTCAGGGAAGTAGTTAGAAATCTACCCCAATTTTTATGGTCGATTTTAATGAAATAACCATAATTTAACATATTTTCGGATAAATCTGGCAGAATTTTCTTGATTTTCCAAGCATTTGCCCAAATTTTTATGGTCTCCCAAAATTTTGGGGGGCAGTGCCCCCTTGCCCCCTGTCTCGTGCGCCTATAGCCTTCAATTTTGGAACATTTAATGGATCAGCACTGTCTTACCACCTTAATTCCGAAAATAATGAAAAGATCTTTTAGATATTACCTTACATAACACCGACGAATATTATGCTCTTTTCAAAATAACGAACTGTTTGCACCATTAATTTGATCACTCTAACTTGAGATAAAAAAATTAGGTTTGTGAAAATTCTCAATTATTTCTATACATTCCTAGGGTGAATAATAATTATGAACGCAAAAGTTCATCGAAAAGATAAAGCTAACTTCATATCTAAAGTCACACTTTGGTGGATTGTTGATCTTTTGTGGAGAGGAAGGTTAAAGCCAATAAATCAAGATGATCTTGATCCTGTCAGAGAAGAAGACCGCTCAGAGTATCGAACCTAATTATTGGAGAAGATTTGGCGAAATGAAAAAATGTCTGCTAATCAAGCAAAGAGAAAACCTAAACTTTGGAAAGCAATGTTGAAATATTTCTCGTGGAAAGAATATGGACTTTTAAGTTTTACGTGTTTCGCTGCGATCTCGGGAAATATTGTGTATCGCTATTCTACTCTAAAATTAATTTATTCTTTGTGGAATATTACTGAACACGGTCTGCAGTCCAGAAATCAGTATCTTGTCAACGTATGGGGCATGATTATTGGATCTATAGTTACAAATTTTGGCATTCGACATTTCAATTTAATCACGGCCATTTTAGGAATAAAATCCAGAGCAGCCGTTGTTGGCCTGATTTATAAAAAGGTAGGCACCTTCATCGCTTTACTATAGAAATACATGCATGCAACAAACTCTCGCCCACTATTTCCAAACATTGTTTCAATATGCCAACACCTGAGCGCAGGCTCGCGTTGCTCTCTTCATATTAGCCATGGCACCAAGATCATTGTTTTTGTACAAAACGTCAAAAACAAGCGACTGTCATACACTTTTAACCAGAGAACTACCGATTTCTAAGATACTGTATAGAAAGAAGGTATGTTTTTTTATAGTCCATGGGTTTTAATTTGATGTAAACCTCAACCCCAAATGCTTCGTAAACGTTTCTAAATGTTCACATTGAAATTAACTTCTTTTTGCCAATAAATTTTCAACTTATTACTCGTGCTTTGAAATGAAATAAATTTAAATCATACAGGTTGAAAATGATTTGCTCTTATTTGTTTCAGCTTTTATAGAATACTAAAACAAGTTAATTCAAAGAAACTTTCACATAATATGGAAAGAGAGAAAGAGAAGCTCTACATGCATGTTCGGGCCTTCAGGCGAAAAATGAACAGCTAACTTGCCCTATACTTCATTTTAAAGAAATGATTTCCCATACTTATCGTTTCTTTAAAATTTGAAAAAGGTGATTTACAATTTATTGTGTGAAACGATTTTCCTGTTTGCTGTCATGATTTTTTTAATCTTTGCTTCCTTCACTCCGGGAAAACAACTTTATTTTTCAGAGATGATTACAGAGATGATCACCCATCATTCAATGCCACCCGCCATGCATAGCCATGCGCCCGCGATTATTGATAAACTTTAGACTTCGCTAATGCTTCCTTTTTCCATGGTGTAAATAGCCGAGCGGAATTAGAACCTTCGCCAACGGCTGGCCCGACGCGACCCGCCCATGGCTCGACGATGATTATATAGCATCGCAGCAAGGCAATTATATTCTTACATTAGAGGGAAAATTTAATCCCCGTAAGCCCGGGGGCGAGGGTACTAATTCCGTCAGGCTATTTACACCATGGAAAAAGGAAGCATTAGCGAAGTCTAAAGTTCATCAATGATCGCGGGCGTGGGTTACCGTAAGTGGTTCGGTAGGTAGTCATCTCACTGATCTCAAAATATGGCTGTTTGCCAGGAGTGAACAGGCAACAAATATAAAAAATGCATGTCCGAAAGCTTGGAAAATCGTTTCACATAACAAATTGTAAAACTTTTTACCATTTTTAAGCGTAAACATTTATAGGAATTGATTTAGTATGAGAAATCCTAAAGTATAGGGCAAGTTTGTTTCAATTGTTTATGTACATGTATGACTTTGTATTAATGTGGACTTTGTTCTTGAAGTTCAAGTATTTCCTATGCATTGTTTGCGAACGTTTCTTAGTTAAATTAACCTTTGTAGAAGTTCATTATAAAAAAGAAAGCAAATTATTTTCATTAGCGTCCTGTACGAATTACATTTATTTCCGTTAAAAGTGCGAGTAATAAGTAGAAGCCTGAGTTGAAGAGTTTATATAAATAACGGCAAAAAGCAGCTGATTTCAATTCACATTTAAAAACGTTTTACGTACAGTTTCGTTTTGAATTTTACATTGAAATAAAGCCCATAGAAACCAAAATAATAGACCTACATTATATATTTTAGAAATTGATAGTTCTGTGTTTAAAACTGTTCAAGTTTCATCTATTTTTTGCAGCTTTGCCCAAGAATTTAAAAAATAGTGTTTCGTGTTGCCATGACTAGCATGGCGTGCAACGCGACCCTGCGTTCAGTGTTGGCGTAATTATGAATACTTCATGTTGAAACAATGTTTGGAAAATATCGGGCGAGAGGTTGTTGCAGGCATTGTTGCAAGCATGTATTTGCATGAATATGCCAGCGTTCTGGCCGATAGCCCGATTCTAGCATGTTAACTCCGTTAACTAACGCATTTAAACGGGTAATAGTAAATATATTTTCACGAGGTGAAAGATAGAAAAGAATTTTCCATTCCACAGAATTTTCCATGTAACAGTAAAATGGATCAATGTTATCCATTTTTTATTGAATTAAATACAGGACAAATACACATCTGACCTGCATATTGTATAATGTTTAAAATAAATAGATATCGGACAAATACTTCCCCAAAAATGTTTGATTGAAGAGTTTGTGGTAAGTTTCCAAATGTTGTCTAAATTTCTGGCAAAAGGTTCTTGATTAAACGATTTTTCCAATAAACATAGCTAATTAGAGTATCGCAGGTTACTTTGTAACATTCTGAAAAGATTTTTGAATGACAAAAACTTAATAACATTTTACATATAGCAACGATTGGGCCCCGTTTGCATAATAAAGCTATTTATTCACCCATTCTTACATGTACAGCCAGCAAAGAGATCTTGATGAATTAGAAACAATATCTCTGTCGTGGAATTGGTCACTCTATTCCTTTTTGAATGCCACAGAAATCAGAAACGTATACTTTTGTTACAGATGTTGACATACAGTAAAACAAGGATAAACGCGGGTGAAATAATGGAATTGGTATGCAATGATACACAATGTTTAGTCACAATGGCAGACGTAGCATTGCCATATTTGATTCGGAAATGTATCTCCGCTGTCATATACATCAGTTGGATTTTACTGTTATATGGGTGGACAATCGTTCCTGGTCTCCTTGTATTTTTTTTTGTTTCCTTATTTCGTATTTCATTGACAAGATTTGATCTTGATTTACGACGAAGTGCTTCACATGTGGGAGAGGAACGCCTTGGATACCTTCGAGAAGTTCTGACGAGCATTCAGTCTATCAAACTTAATTGTTTGGAACATATCTACGAGAACAAGATTAAAAAAACAAGATGGTAAGTTTAAACCTAATTACTGTTTTCCTTCCACATGCAGTCATGCACTGACTAATCTTTGCGATACATACACTGAACTAAGGTAAAGGGTTTCAATATAGATCGAAGCATGCAAGTTTCACATTCATATGCATGTCACATTATTATGACCTTAAGATAACTATAGATAAACATATAGCTAACAAATTAAGCAACGTTTGCTAACGTTTAAATCCTGAGAATTCCTATTGGTAAATTCATTTGTTTTCAATTGAAGCGCGTTAATGTTTTGGAACCGGTTCGGGAAATATTTTTCATGAGGTTTATTAATTTTTGGCAAATATTCAATGCATGGCACCACCAATAATGTTTTGGGAAAGACAGATAACAAGTGTACTTATTCTTAAATTTCGTTTAAATATTGTTTGGCAAAGATTCTTGTGCGTAGTATTTTGTCCAATATGGGATACCTCGTGGAAGCTAAAATTTTCTTCCATTGAATACCAGCGAAAGAAATAAACCGACAAGTTGTTTTAAAAGTCTGATGGCTTGCGGTCAACCCTTTAACCTACTGGTTGGAAAATTTAA